GATACTGTATATATATATATATATATATATATATATATACTGTGACATATATATATTTATATATATTTAAACTGTGACCTTTAAAATATGGCTACAATAACACCACTCTCTCTCCAGAACTCCACAAGTGGGCACATATGTCTTCTCCAAAGATAAAATGAATAGTGCTATCAATTTAAAATGTTTATTAAGATAAAAATGTAAACAATACACTCACCTAAAAGATACACAAGACCTGTGAACAAGGATAAGAACTTATCCACATCTTCCTTGGTATAGTCAGCAGCTCTCACAGCACTTCCTAATTATAAATAACTAGAGTGCTGTGAGAGTTGCTGACTGCACTGAGATTGACAGAGGCAGGCTCTGAATGAGTTTTTTATCCTTGTTCACAGGTCTTGTGTATCTTTTAAGCTGAGTGTATCTTTTATATTTTTAACGTGCAATTCCCGTATGGTGCGTTTTAACAGCCCATTCATTTTAATGCGCTGCAAAATACACCACACCATGGGAAAAGTAGTGCTTGCAAACACGGCGCTCCAAATGGCATGGAACTGGCGCTGTGTTTGTGATCTGCGTTTGGGGTGCCAATAACTTTACATTGGCAACTGCAGTTTGATCACCTGAGGTGTGGGAAATGAACACAGAGCGCACTATTCCTGCACCATGTTCTAGACTGCACTTATATGGATTTTTTTCCAAACTTCTAGTGTAAAATTCTATTCATCTTTGATGAACTCTTGACAGCTGGATTCCTTTAGAATGACATTCATCCAATGACTACAGGTGTTATCACATGGAGATAGATTTTCCTACATAGATCTAGCTGATAAAAGGCATCACCTACCTATGCTGGTAGTTCTCAAGCCTCAAATGGCTGATAACATAAAAAAAGTTATTAAACATAAAAAGGTCAACAATTTCTGTACACATACGGTTACTGGAAATATATACTGTATAACAGTCTCCAAACTGTGGCCTGGGGGCCAGATGTGGCCCTTTGCTTGCTTTTATCTGGCCCTTGGGACATTATGCATAGTTCCTATCACTGACCCCAACAATGAGGCACTATTCCACCCTCTGACACCAATGATGGGGCACTATTGCTCCCACTGACACCAATGATGGGGTGCTATTCCTCCTACCTATACCAAGGACGGGGTACTATTTCTCCCACTGAAACCAATGATGGGGCACTATTTCTCCCACTGATACTTGTAACAGCGTATACCCAGAGATGGACACGGTTCAACCATTATGGCTTCAACCTCCATCTTGGCAAAGGGGTTAACCATCCTGACAAACATATTTCTCCCTCATTCCCCCCCCTCTCTGAGAGGCCCAGAGACCTTTGGCCAGTATGTGTGTGAGTTAGGAATGTCACAGAAGGGTCATAGGAGCTATAAAGCCCCCCAAGGGAGCTGGGGCCTAGCTGTCAGAAGAACCTGTAAAGCGTAACACCTCGTATAAGATAAGGCAAGCTTTCTCAGGAGTTGAAAGAGATTCCAACCTAATAAACCTAACTCAGCGTATGTGACAGAATCAGATAACCACTTTTCAAAATCCATTTTTCCCCTATGTCTCATATCTTGGAATATGAGAGACTTACATAAAAAACGGACATATTGTCAGATTGGCCACGAGAAGGCGAACAGTTTGGTAGGTCACTCGCATTGTCTCGAATACATAGAAAAGCCAAAATATAGATCTCGTGAACCGTTCAGTGTATAATTTCATAATTCATATCTAATCAATCCTCAGAAGTGTCTGCCTAATAATGTCACTTGTGCATAGGAATGTTATGGGCCAAAATATGAGTTATGGGAGATTTTGGCTCTAGTTGAGGTATCCGCCCATACCTACATGCCCTAAACGGGGTATTGGTCCTTGACTTCAGAGACACCCGCTGCTGGGGACTACAAAATAGGCTGTCAGACCTAAGAGTGGAGTTGAAGACGTCTCCCATTTTAACATCAGTACCACCTGGGGAGACCCGTGCCCTTTCGCTCTGAAACTTGGATCTGCTAACCAGGACTTTGGCAAGCACCTTAACCCTTTCACCTCTCTCTGATATCTCTTTGCTGTGCTGTTAGTCTCTGTATATTTATATATATATCTTAGTTACATCTTTTTCTGTAAATATTTTTATTGCACCCGTTTGACCTTTAGTAATAGATCTTTCCTTCTGAAAGTGTTGAACTGTTTCTATAACTTTGTATTGCAATTTACGAATTCCTGCCTCTAAAGAGAATGCTACTGTGTTTTGTTTAACTCTGCATAATCGGCCTGCGGTGACCATATTATGCAGACGATTATCACAACCATTATAGTGTTTTAGCTGATATTGCCGAGTTTCCTCTTTCTCTGTACAAAAAGGAAGTGGTGGCAGTGTGAAGGGTTAATTGCGTAATTAACCTGACCCAGTAACAATCGCTCAGGCTGCCGGTACATCGATTGTGGTCCAATTAGCTGGAAAATCGTTGTGCAGCGTGCAGCTGGGTGTGGCATTGTTACGCATGTGACACCGCGGTTTTAGATCGGCTAGTCCTTCGGTCACGAGTTTGGTGAGAAGGTCTGGGGTCTGATGCTGCGATCGTGACAATACCAATAATGGGGCACTATTACTCCCACTGACACCAGCGATGGAGCATTATTATGCCCATTGATACCAATGACGGGGCACTATTTCTCCCGCTAATACCAATAATGGGGCACTGTTCCTCCCACTGACACCAATGATGGGGCACTATTCTTCCCACTGATACCAATGATGGAGCAATTTTCCTCCCACTGATACCAATGATGGAGCACCATTCCTCTCACTGAATCCAATGATGGGGCACTATTCCTCCCACCGACACCAGAGATAGGGCACTATTTCTCCCACTGATACAAATGATGAGGCACTATTCCTCCCACTGACACCATTGATGGGACAATATTCCTATCAACTGACACCAAGATGGAACATTATACCTTCTATTGATACCAACAATAGGGCACTTTTACTTCCCTTAATACCAATAATGGAGCATTATTTACTTCCACTGACAGCCCTGACATTTTAAGGACAGTAAACTTTTAAACAAAAGTTTTGAGACCCCTGCTATATAAGAACAAAATCATAAAAGTAAAATCAGATTCCAATTTATTTTAGTTTTTTTTCTGAAACCCAGTTATTTGCCACTGCATGTGAAGGAATGGCTTTGGGATTTGTGAATATTTCCTCAAAGAATAGCCTTTTTTAATTAAAAAAATAAAAGTCTAAACTGTACAACCACTGAAAACCAAATGTTATTTTTTTTTCAGAGGAAATTCAAATCATTTATAATTTGTTTCTTTTACATGTGATGTTATTAGTTGTCTGTGCTGCGGATAGGTCTTTGCATTCCAGACAATCAGATAACTGTGACTAGTCTCTGATCCAAGATCTCACTACTATGGCTGATTATATGTTCAATAAAATGCATAATGCAGAGCCTCTTTCTACTCCTGTTAGCATGAAAAATGCTCTGTGTAATAGAAGCTGACATCCAGCTGAAGGGTGATTAGTAGCAAGTTGATGCGTCTCTTCAGTCATGTCTCTTTCATTTATAGTGATGGTTCACATTTTTTTCTCTTATTTGCTAATGTACTAATAAGGCATATATGTATTTTGTTCTTTAAAGTGCCAATCCAGACAAGGGATGCCAATAAATAGTGCAATCCAGCAAACACTGCAGCTGTGCTAAAATCAACCCTAATATACCCTATTCTGAGCTCTGCGTAATGTTTCTGTCACAATTCACACAGCACTTTGTATTTTCACTGGAAGGATATTTCCTGAAATGTCTGCTGTATAACTTCCTCTTTGCTTTCTGGATCATCAATCACATTCAACTTCCAAGGCTGGAATCTGATTGGTTGATTTGAGACAAATCTTATCATTAACAATTTTTTTTACATCAGACTAGACTTGAGTCACAGCAAGGATCCCTTTCTCTGAGAGTCTGGGAACTCCTCTCCTGCCTGACATGCAGGGGTTCCCAAATAACTGGCATTCACTATTTATAAAGTTTATTAAAATACAAATACAAGTTAAGATCAGATCATATTTCTAGCTCCATTCCAAAGTGGATTTCATTGCAGCCCAACCTAGGGCAATAAATATAACATTTTCTGTCCAACCCGCACCAGAAAATATGTTTATGTTTTTTTTTAATAAATAATAAACCCAAAAATGTATCTGTATCTGCTTTCACATGACCCTCAGCAATAACCAGAAGCTGCAGGCCAAGCCCACCATCAAGTCATGTTATGGACTCTTCTGGCAACCGCTAGGCAGAGTCCACATTGGAAGTCATGTGGGCACTACAAGACGAGTCTCCACAATTGGGACCTGCCCTGGCTAATGACCATGATTTCAGGTTTTTTTTTATTAGTCAAAGCTAGTGACTTGCTAACGGGGTTGGGATGATTGAGGGTTGTATTTGTTTTAACCGGAGATCAATTTAAGTAACTATGAAAGCCGGCTGTGAAACACCAGGAAGTCACAGCCAGCTTCCCAAAAGCAAGATGGTGGCACTGAGGACCCAAAGACCAGCAAAGAACCAGCCTGGGTGATGACAGTGCTAGATGTCTGGGCTGGTGTCTGTATATTAAATGTCAGCAGCTACAGTATTTGTAGCTGCCTAATTTTAATTTTTTAAATGGACTCAAATTAACTTTTTTAAAAAACTCTAGACAAAAAAGCCTGGGCCAGGCATGGTTGCGTTTGGGAAGACTCTCTTTTATCCAGCCTGTACGGTATAGTAAGTGTACATACCTGGCATTGAAACTTAAATTTAAAATTTAGGAATACACAATTGACAGTGGGTTGTTTTCTGTGCACCTCCTGCGCTCAGAGTTCTTCAATCTTTTCACAGAATGCAAGGGTTCTATGACTGGAGGAGGGGAGATAGTGATGTCCAAGTACGCCACCTCCATTCACAGAATGACAAAAAATTGCTCTTAAATTGTTACCAGACACACAACAGTAAAATCAGTCTGTATATGCAGTAAAGCATGCTTGTTATATGCACTGTGGAACATAAGGAGTTAATCCTATGCATTGTGTAAAAAAGCTGTTTGATCCTGTCTTCTCTGATCCTTCCCTTCCTCCACAGTCCCCAATCCATCTACTGATAGTACAGAGCTCTAGAAATCAAACTACTCAGTTTGGTGTGTATTGCTCGAGAGGTTTTTTTATTCTTTGGGAGGGTGCATGTGATCAGCAAATGGCCAATCAGCGCTGTCCAGACAGAGGGTCAGGGCTTATGCAGCCTCATAGGACAGTCAGAGCAGAATGAAAACTCCCCCTAAAAAGCTTTAACCATACCTCAGATAGAGGTCACAATTCTAGCTATATACTGCTGATGAGAAAAGGTATTTAGCAGTTTATATTTATTAAAATAATTGCATTTCCATTTTGTGTGTACTATGGGGAGACCAGATATAATGAATGCAGGGTCCTGGGTTTAGTAACACTTTATTGTCTGTAACTTTTTATACTGAGAATACCACGCACAGGATGGCAACAAATGCTCTTCTTTATTAAAAACCAGCAGATACAATTGTGGGGTGTAGTGTGGCGTTCGGGATATAGCTCTGCCTCATAGCAATCACACTTACCTGCAGTTTCTAATTTTTAACCTTTTTAACCACTTCCATACCGAGCACTTTTACCCCCTTCCTGGCCTGGCCAATTTTTAGCTTTCAGTGCTCTCGCACTTTGAATGACAATTGCTCGGTCATGCAAAACACTGTACCCATATGAAATTTGTATAATTTTTTTCACACAAATAGAGCTTTCCTTTGATGGTAATTAATCACCACTGGGTTTTTAATTTTTTTGCACTATAAACGAAAAAAGACAGAAAAGTTTGAAAAAAAAAAAGTTTTCCTTGTTTTTTTCTTATAACATTTTGCAAATCAGTAATTTTTCTTGAAAAATTTAGCCAAAAATATATACTCTACATTTTCTTTGGTAAAAATAACCCAAATCAATGTATATTATTTTAGTCAGTATGAAAGTTATAGAGTCTACAAGCTATGGTACCAATTAGAGATGAGCGAATCGAACATGGCGAAGTGGAATTCGTTTCGAAGATCAGGAAAAAATTCGATTCGCGCCGAATCCGAAATTAGCAAACTTCGGATGCACGAATCGAATTTTCCCAAAAATGGCGGCGACATGTGTGGCGACGGAGCGGGGGGATCTCTGGGAAGGAGGTCGCGCAGACACAAGGCGCGCTGACCCATAATGCATTCATTCATGACATGAAAACGCATTAGCCAATCAGCAGCCAGCCAGCCAGCACTGTGTAATGGTGGAGCTATAAATCGCGGCCATCTTAGAATTCTCAATTAGCCTCCGGTCCATTCATAGAGAGACAGACCTGTCTGTATTAGGGACATGAGTTAGGGCCACAGAGACTTTAGGGCCACAGAATCGTTACTCAGGCCACAGAATCGTTACTCGGGACACAGAATCGTTACTCTACGGGGACACAGAATCGTTTACTAGAGGGACACAGAATCGTGACTGAGGGACACAGAATCTGTTATACTTGAGGACACAGAATCGTTACTCGGGGACACAGAAATCGTTACTCGGGACACAGAAATCGTTACTCGGGGACACAGAATTGTTACTCAGGGACAACTGAATCGTTACTTTTCTGCTTCACAACCACTATTGAATTTAAAGAGTAATGTTCAGACAACACGTCGCAGAGGAGTGGCAGAGAGCAATGTTTCAGGAGCGAGCAGGACGTGGCAGCAGAGGAAGGGGTCGAGGCAGCACTAGTCGCAGGCCAGAGGCCAGTGCTCCCGGTGTCATCCAGCGGTCGTGTCTCCACCGACAACCCTGCCGGGCCGTCATCGATTGGTTTGACTCGGTCGTCTTCCTCTTCCAGGTCACCTCTGACACCTACAGCCAACGGTCGGTGGGTACGTCAGACACAACCGTTAGTTGGCATGGCCGGGAGCAAGCCCACTGAAATCACGTGTCCTCTACCTGCCCCTGTCCTTGGTGTTCCCTCACCACGCGAAGTATCGCATGCTGTGGGCTCAGCCCCACTGTACAGTGAGGAAGAGCTAACAGAAAGGGCGGTCAGGAACGGGGGTGAGACATCCGCCTCTTCAGCAGCCAGGCGAAGAAGTACAGGCGAGGAGTGTGGCTCGGAGTAGCCCGTCTAGAGACAGGTCTGTCTCCTGACCCACACGCAGCCGAGGGGCTAGTAGTGACGCGGAGACCCTAATTGATGATGATAGAGGCAGAACGCACTTTGGCAGCCTCGTCGCATCAAACTATTTCTTTTTGCATCACAGGGA